ATTTCTGTGAAATTCTTTCAAAATGCTACTCCTCCTACAGTTTTGGTCTGATTTCAGTATAACTTGGCATGCAAGTAGACTACATTCACAAATACACAATCTGTATATCGGTTTTTGATTTCGATCTAACAGTGTTGCCGTGGTTTCTAAAAATAGAATTTTTGTGAATTCTTTCAAAATGCTACTCCTCCTACAGTTTTGGTTCTGATTCCAGATAACTTGGAACACAAGTAAATCTACACTAAGATACATAATTCTATGTATCGGTTTTTGATTTTGATGAACGGTGTTGCCTTGGTTACTAAAAATAGAAATTTTTGTGAAATTCTTTCAAAATGCTACTCCTCCTACAGTTTTGGTCTGATTTCAGTATAACTTGGCACGCAAGTAGACTACACTAAGATACATAATTCTGTGTATCGGTTTTTGATTTCGATGAACGGTGTTGCCGTGGTAACTAAAAATAGAAATTTCTGTGAAATTCTTTCAAAATGCTACTCCTTCTACAGTTTTGGTCTGATTTCAGTATAACTTGGCACACAAGTAGACTACACTAAGATACATAATTCTGTATATCGGTTTTTGATTTCGATGAACGGTGTTGCCGTGGTTACTTAAAATAGAAATTTCTGTGAATTTTCTAAATTGCTACTCCCTACAGTTTTGGTCTGATTTCAGTATAACTTGGCTCACAAGTAGACTACACTAAGAACCTAAAGAGACTTTATCAACAATCATTTTTCTATTTAGTTTCAAATCCCAGCTACTTAAGTACTTTTCTCTTCCTTTGCTATAAGTTCAAACCAGTAGAGCTGCAGTCTCGACAGAGACTTCTGGTTTTTTATCAAATCATGACCCCCGATGATAGGGTGGGGCAAAAATGAACGTTCATACTTATGGGGAAAAGCCACAATAAGTCATAGAAATAAGTTAGTAAAAACCCCCGCTATGATTTTTAGGTGTAGGATGGGACAACATGCTTTGAAGCTTTTCGAAACTGGATTGATTTTTGCTTTTTTCCTAGCTACAATGCTCAGGGGAGCAATGTGGACCATGGGCCTCTTTCTTCTTTTCACGCATAAAAATTTGCACAAATTCTTCTTTATATGAATACAAAAAAAGGTCTGCTGTTAACAGGGTACAATTGTTATCCCTGGAAATTCCAATAGATTGTTGGAAGACCTGGTCTCCAAAAATAACATTGATATTGTCATTCAGAAACTCAAGCATCTTTTTATTGTCGACTTTACTCTTAAATGATAACAAGTTAAGGTTATTTTGTGACAATCTCTTCCACGCACGTGAAATTTTATGATAACATTTTGTCCGTCTAGCTGTCTAGCTGCCTGTTAACATTTTCGTCATCTTCTCAAGAACCACTGGGCCAGTTTTAACCAAACTTGGTACAAAGCATCCTTTGGTAAAGAGAAGTTAAAATTGCAAAAATGAAGGACGATGTCCCTGACAAGGGGAGATAATCAAGAAAAGACAAAAACAGGGCGAGGTCATAAAAAAATCTTCTCAAGTACCACCGGGCCAGAAAAGCTGAAACTTAAGTGGATGCATCCTGGGGTAAATTCTAAATTATTCAATCATGACCCCGAGTGTAGGACAGAACCACAATAGGGAATCAAAATTTTGCATAGAAATATATAGGGAAAAATATTAAAAATCTTCTTCTCAAGAACCACTTCGCCAGATGAGCTGAAGCGTATGTGAAAGGATCTTTGGATTGTTTAGATTTTAAATTGTCACGTAGGGAAGGGCAGTGTCACAATAGGTATTACAAGGGGGAGAAATCTTGTTAAAATGGTGAGAGCTACTCAGGTGAGGGATGTGTCCCATGGGCCTGTTGTTGTAATTATTAAGGTTTCAGACAAACAAATCGACTTATGTGAAAGCATCATGGGGTACAATTAGATTTTAAATTGTCTAAATTATGATCAGTGGGGTAGGGTGGGGTCACAATCGGTTACAAGGGGGAGAAATCTGGTAAAGAACAGAATGGTCAGAACTACTCAGGTGAAGGATGTGTCCCAGGGGCCTCTTGTTAGTGTTTTCTGGATCCGCTAAACCAATTTCAATTCTACTAAAGTGTGTTGCATATTCTGCAAGAACTCTTTACTTCATGTATTTCCACATGATTGGTTTTTCCAAAACTATCAAAATTAACCCAATTTAAATTTTTTGGTAAGCAATCATAATGTTGATGTATTATTTAGTGATTTAGTGGATCACTTTTTTTCAGATTCAGCCTCAGGAAAGTTTCAAAAGCCAATTGATAACTCTCAGCGGAGTAAAGAATCAGAAACCTTATTCTGTGATAAATGGCATAAAAGTGTTGGTCATTTGGTGTGTAGTGATGGGACAGCTGGTACCGCATTCAGGGTTGGAAGTCGTTATCTGATGACAGCATTTCATGTGATAAGAAAAACTTATGGTTAGTATGATCAAAACATTTTTTAGCTTTTTTTTTTTTCCATGAATTGTATATCTTTCACATTCTTCAAATGATTACTGCCATACAAAAACACTGTATATTTTTGTACTATTTTTATCTCTTGAAAATATTCCCATCCTCCTATGATTTCATAGGTTTTTGCAAAAAACTGTTTTTAGATTAATTTTATTTCATACCCAATAGCACAATATTTTTTGGAAGAATGCTTTGCAATAGGTGTCATGGTAAATATTGTTTAGTAAAAGATTTTTTAAAATGTATATTTTATTTATTTAATCAATCATATAGTCTAAAAATGTTGACAAGGGCAATAACTCCTTCTCAAGTTTCTTCATTCAGGCATTTTTTATATTGTACTCTTAATTTTGAATAATTTCTCTGATATTATATTCACAATTCAAAAATATCTTATAAGTGGCAAGTATTTCGGAACTTTCAGCATATGATTTTGAACAAGTTTTTACATAAATTTTATAATATTGTTTACAAAACATGTACAACATTTTAATGCTGATGTATACATGTACTTCTGTTTTATTTATGTCTCCAATCTTAAATATTTAACATTGCAACCTATAAATTTTTGTAATAATTGGAAATTTAAACTACATTTGTATATTAAATGAAAATAAATGGAATTTTTGTATTTTGAACCATTAAAATTTTGAGGATAGAAACACCTTTTAAGCAAGTGCAAAAGTAGTCAAAGTTGGTAAGACTAATAAAGGTTGTTTTATGATTCTATTTTGTCTAGAAATGTACATCGATAATATCGTAGAAAACGCCCAGTCTGATCCACATCGCAGCATTAATTATTCAAGGTTTTTGCAAAAACTGCAAGTAGGGGAATCCGGGAGAGATATTGAAGAGAAATTAAAAAATGGGGTCCATGAATGGCTGAAAAAGACTAGTTATCAATTACTGCTCACCGAACTACTCAGTGTTTTGGGGGAGACAGGATTTCCATGTGCCAAAGGTAACATTTCACATAACTGACACACATTCTATTACTGCATACAAAATTAATGGAGGGCTGATCCGAATGCCTTATATCAAATGGAAAAGATAGGATTTTTCTGTACATTATAAAGTCATACTTTATCTATCCAATCTTATGCATGTTTTGGTCTGATTTCAATATTTGTTATAATAATCGTTGTTACTTAAAATAGAGAGAACCTTTCAATTGCTGTTCACATGTTATGTTTTTTATTTCGGGAAAAAAAATCACATTATTTCCTATGGAGCTTGTAACACGGGCTCTACGTGGTTACAAACTTGGGTGTAAATTTTGTTATTGATTGTTTATTGTTTTAATAACCTTCTGAAGAAAATGCTTTTTCAGTTTTGGTCTCAAATGAAAAAGTAGACTACACTAAGATACATAATTCTGTATATCAGTTTTTGATTTCGATGAACGGTTTTGCCTTGTTATGAAAAATAGAAATTTCTGTGAAATTCTTTCAAAATGCTACTCCTCCTACAGTTTTGGTCTGATTTCAATATAACTTGGCACACAAGTAGACTGCACTAAGATACATAATTCTGTTTATCAGTTTTTGATTTCGATTAACGGTATTGCCATTGTTACTAAAGATAGAAATTTCTATGAAATTCTTTCAAAATGCTACTCCTCCTACAGTTTTGGTCTGATTTCAATATAACTTGGCACACAAGTAGACTACACTAAGATACGTTATTCTTTGTATTGGTTTTTGATTTCGATGAACGGTGTTGCCATGGTCACTAAAATTACAAATTTCTGTTAAAAAATCTCAAAATGCTACTCCTCCTGCAGTTTAAGTCTGATTATAATACAATGTGGCATGCAAGTAGACTATACTAAGAACATAAAGAGACTTAATCAAGGATCATTATTCTTTTTATTGCTGTGGTAAAGTTTCAATTCCCAACTTCTTAAGAACCTTTCCTTTGCTATAAGTACAAACCAGTAGAGCTTCAGTCTCGACAGAGACTTCTGGTTCATTGAAGATTTTGAAAGAATTTGCTTATGACTGTTTGTTATCTCCTTATATTTCAATAAAAAATTTGACCACCTTCTGTAACACATGAATATACACTTTACAATGAATCTTTCACTTAATTTTCAACTTTTCTGACAGTGGCTTGCTGAGGTGAAGACAAGGTCGCCAAAAGTCGACAAAAGTTTTCAAGGGATAACAATTTCTCATCCTTATATTACCCTAAAAATATGTTACATCTTTTGTTAATATAGTACTGAATGTATTTAATATGTATTTAAATGAAAAAATCACAATAAACCTAATGCACTGAAATCGTTTTTATACTATAATACTATGCTATGTAATGTTACTCGGAGGGCGTGGTTTACAAATTGTATAAATTGTTTTAACATGAAAATATACAAAATATCTTTATTCATTTTCATTTGTAAAGATGGTTTTAATTTCCAGAAACATTTTCCATGGAACACAGCGGAATTTTCTTTAATATTAATCTTCTTTAATAGTATACTTCTTTTCACATAGCTAAAGCACATTGCTCACTATTACATTTCCTAATCATTGTTATTTATTTGTAGAGAAGTCCATGAAATTCATCGAGGACAACCGTATTTATGTATATTTTGGTCGCACAAGAGAACACGTTAACTATGTACCCTATCGTTTGAGATATGACATTCCATTCTACAGCAAACAGGAAGCAGATGACGTTGCTTTATTAGAAGTTGATTGGACAGATTTACCAAAGCCATTTATTTTGGACATGTCTCGCAAGCGACCAGAAAATGTTACCATTATTGGTCACCCAACCTCTCATGGCAATGAACAGATAATTGACAGAACATGTCCGTTGATTTCGGAATGTGATGCCTTTCAAACTCACTGTAAAGCACTTTCATGGTGGAAGAGGAACTATCCTAATTTTGACCATAAAAAAGTTAAAAATGATTATGATTCTATGTTCAAGAAGGAAAAGGTACTGTTCCATTGCTCAGAATCTACAACTCATGGTGCTTCTGGTGGCCCTGGGATCATTGGTTTAGACGTAGGCTCGCCAAAAGTGCATTTAATGCTCCAAGAAGGAATCCCAGGCTTGGTACATAATGTGGATGATGCATCTATGAAAGAGATATTGAGGACTTGCCCTAAAGAATGCCTTGTTGAGAGTGGGATCAGCATGTCCAGAGTATATGAACTTTTAAGCAGTATACCACAATTGAAAGAGTTGCGAGATAACATTTTTCACACTCAAATATGGCTGTGTTTATGCTTTTATTTAATCTACGAAATAACTATTGATAAATAATGATAATGTATCATTGTCAGAATCAGGAAACAAGAATGAATAATCGGTGAATATGTCTAATTCTAAATCGGAGAAAGAGTGGCGCTTTACAAAATAAAATAATAATTTAACAGTAGTTATCGGAACAAAATGCGTTCACTTTATAATTGCATCACAGCTTAAATTACTGAAATAAATGTTAAAGACACTTGAAATAACTGAAGCAAGTTTTAGAATTGTACAAAAATGACTTGAAATCAATTAATGCCCTGTTCACATGGAGAGTTAAATTCGCAGTAAATAAATGCGAAGTAAACTAATGTGAATTAAATTGCGTTCACACGACAGCTAATGCGATGTAAACTTATGAGAATGAAATTTTATTTCTACAAAAAAGCCGGCTGTTTTTAGTAAGGCTATTTTGACATCATTTGTAAATCACGTCATCATGTATGCAGGGCTATCAAATTGATATCATAATCATAGTGGCTACTATTAGTTATGTGTGTCTACATAATGAATTTATCCTGTCGAACATATTTTGATAAAGCTCATTTAACTTAGCAAATCGTTTACATTTTGACATTGATTAATGTTAATATGACGTCAGTAATTAGGTGCTTTGTGTGTTCAAATGAAAACAACAATGATCTGTGCAGTATGTCATGTGGAGGGGGCATATTGATTTGAGGTGTGGTTGGTAGGTCATTTGAAGGGGGCTAATTAGAAATATGAGGTAGGTGGACATCATAACATCGTTTCATGCAGTATTCTTCTCAACAAGTGAAATGTCACGATTTTATCAGAGGCAGGATAAAGGTATCCATTTAGTGATAAACATACCTTTCCTTTATTTTTGAACCAATTACAGCACTGTTACCTTTATCTAACCACCAACATGTGCCCTTTGACTTCATTCTGGCCTTACGCAAATTTAATTTGAATTAGCTTCGCTCAGCGTTCACATGGAGATATCTTTCAAAAGAAATTCTTTATTCCTAGACATAGAGCAGCCAAACTGTTGGCATCATTGTAATCAGCATTAAGCCCTCTGGTGTTAGGGCGAGGCTCTAATGATTATATTTTGAAAATGCATAAATATTTTTAAAATTTTCTACTCTCTCTCCTGGGTATTAAACCAATAAACTATGTACATAATCCTGATGACAAAGGTTGTGTTTTCCAAACTTGTGATGTTCATGGCACCTGTTTCAGGTGTTCTGGTGTGAGGGCGGGGCTTTATAAATTATGTAGTTAAAATGCATAAATTATTTCGGGGTTTCGGGGGTCCGTGTTTGCTCTGCTCTTATTTTGTATATTTGTTTAATGGACGTTGAGATTGAATACTGTTCGTTATTTCCATATCCTTCTTGAAATTCTTCTCCTCCGCTTCTAGGTATTAAATCAATAAACCCTGTGCATTGGTATGACGAAGAAGGGTTCCTCTTCCAATGTCGTCAATTTTTAAGGTCCCTGGGTCAGGGGTTTTGGTGATATGGCTGGGCTCTACTTAGTATTTAGTAAAATTGCATTATTTCTTTGACAAAAAATACCTTCTTTTTTACTGGTTTGTTATCCTGATTATCTAGTCTCATACATATATAGTTATGAAGAGCAAACTTGATTAAGGGTGCTTCTTCTAGAAATGTGAATTTCAAGTCCTTTTGGCATGAGTACGGAGGGTCTTATGATAATATATTGGAAATGAATAAATACCTTGAAATATGTGTTTTGTTAGTATTAATCGAACATTTATGATGAACAAGGGTGCCTTTACCAAAAACTGTGAAATGTGTGGCGGCCACAGGGTCAGGAATATCTGTGGTATAGGGCACATACTGAATAAATTAAAGTGGAAATGCTAATTTCCTTTGTTCCTCTGCTCTGTCCTTGGGTATTATTTAATCATGATATGGGATTTGTTATTGTATTAGTGTGCGAATATTTACTTATAAATACCTTAACCCCTTCTCTACCGCATCGGTCAATATGACCGATAGCGCGTTAAAACACGACATCGCGATAACAGGATCTCCGTATCTTTTCAATAATAGAATAAAGGTATATAATCTATATATCATCTTTTAGGAAATTTTCTCTACTTTTAGACCCTGTAAAAATTTCGAACCTTAAAAATCGGTAATGAATAGATTTTACGTTTTAAAGACATTCGTGACTTTTTAAAAATGACGCTATTTTCCAAAGCAAGGACGATTTTCCCAACGATATATATATTTTTTCTAGATTAAATCATTAAGTAAAAATTAATATGTTTAAAAGGGAAATTTTCTCTGCTTTTAAAATATGTAAAAATTATTGGTTTTACTTTTAGATATTTTATAAAAACAAGAATTTTCTTCCACGCATGTGATTTTTCTGGGTTTTATTCGTAATATTCAAATTAACGTTAGTTTTACCTTTATTTCTATATTGAAATAGGGAAAACAAAATACAGCTGGTAAAAGTAGAAAAAATTTCCATTTCAACAAGCCTTTACTTGTCTCTTTATGTTCCGTATTTTCTGAATTAGCATAGTTTGAGTTTTGAACCTCTGCGTAATTTTTTGTAGAAAATTCGAGTGTAATCTATATTTAACGTCAAGGTCGTTTTCGTTGCGCCTCAATCGGAACAACGTGTTTAGTACTATTAAATTTAATTAAATATTTTTATTTAAATGGATGATTTGTATAAAAAAAATAATTGTTTTAAAATAATAGTAATCATCTTTACACCTTTCAGAGAAATGTAGTCTTTTTTGTTTATTTATGAAACGTGCTATTAGTTCATTGTTGATAAAAAGAAAAACGCTGATTCCCAAAGCCTAACACTACGTCAAAAAACAAAATATTTTATTGCTGTTTGCTTTAAAATATATTCCTAATATGATGTACTATTAAACATATACTGACATGAAATTTACAATAAATTAAAAACAACAACTTTGAAACAAGTATGTTTTAATACAAATTCTCGCATTCACACGACTCATTACGGTATGAGTTGATATTAATCGAGACAAACACGTGTTTCCGCTGTTGCAGTAAACAACAACAACACCATGGATTTACGATGTAAAACACGTCAATTCATCAGATATGACTGGTCTTTTCTTTGGCATTAGATGTAAGTAAGTATTGATTGAAAAGTTTAAAAGTGTTTTACAGTACATAGATAGAAATGAAAAGACATTGTAGACTTCCAAGGACCTCTATGTACGTGTATATATACTGTAGTAGTATAGATTGGTTTCCAGCTACACACGTGCATGTAATCAATATGAAGCCGTTCGGTGATTTTACATAGTCGGTAACCGACATATGATACTTTTCAGTTCTTTCAACGATCACATAATTTTTTTTTTCGATGACAAAATTGTTTACAATACAATGTCACTGTTTTCTCAATATGAAATAATGTGTTGACTGATCAATGAAATATTTTTGATCGATGTACTCCGACCCACATTTTTCAAGATGGGTAGGTAATTTGTTAATTTTGGGTTGGTTTACACTGCTGAAAAATTGGTAACTGAGATTTCTTAACAGTACACATTTGATAGCTTCACAAGTGTATTGCTATGAAAACATGAAAAACAATCAGTCAAGAAGCAGTCTATAGAAATTATAAACCTTTGCTTTAAAATGAAACAATTTTAGTAAATTTAAGAAGGAAAATAAATTCAAAGTTTAAAGTGCTGAAAAAATTATTGCAAAGGGGCAATTTTGACAGGTCCTCTGTGTACATCAAACAAATCAATTTTTATATTGTTGGCCTGAACATCTAAACCCTGTTTTGTGATGATGTTCAAACAAATTTGACTTATTTTTGGGTTGTTTTTGAAGTAGGAAGTTTTTATTACCACTTCAAAGAAAAATGAAACTTGACATAATTAACACTAACTCATAAATTTTTTTAGCATGTGTGTTTTGTGCTGGTACCAAATCGTCAGAACTTTCATCTGTGAAGTGCTTCTTGCTAATCCCACCACTGGCCATCATGCACAGAAAAGATCATGATGTGGAGGACATAGGTGCTTAGTTATCAGCTGTAAGTTAATTTTATTGCAGTTAGAATTCCTTATTGCCACTTGATGGCTAATAGTCAACACTTCTAGGTACATGAGTCACTAGACTAGTTCAGTGGTTCTATAATCATGAAGTAAGGAATTAATCCTTGCATCGCAGGTTCGAATCTTACTATGAGACATGTAGACCTGTCTTTCTGATAAGACACTATAAACATATCTTATCTTACATTATACTTATAAAAACCAATTAGGGGGCCTTGTTGCAGTAGGTGCTGGCATGAAAAAGATCCCTCACACCTCAAAAGTCGTAAGTGTCGAGTATAGAACAGTCCACCTACAAGTGGTGGCAACTCCATGTGAGAGAGAAATTGTTGAGCATATTCTGAAAAATCGTAGAGCAGAAAGATCTAGAAAAAAAATTGAGGGAATGAATTAGTAATCAGAAGGATTGGATTGCGTAATTTGAGATCTCGAATTATAATTCAAAGGAATGAATTGATAATTCTTGGAAACGGATTGTATAATTCGAGATCTCAAATTAATTTTTACTTATTTTGAAAATATTTTGAACTGTCCCATCACTTTCATGGCATCTAATTAAAATTAGATCTATCTGCTTCACAATTTTTCTTTATATATACAGGTCTGCCTGTATTAGTCAGATTACCAAATATGCTATTTGTTTTGGTTCAGTAATTCAATCATGATGGTTAACTACAAGGTTGTTGAATTTGTAGTCCTAATACATTGACTTAATAATATCATTTAACTATTTGAATCGCATTTATAATTTTTCATTTCAAATGGAAAATAATATCAATGTATTAATTGTATCATTTTTAATTTTATTCACATATCTGTTTCAAAATATTTAAATCTTTTACAGTATAGAAGCTGATCCCTTGTACAGACAAGTCAAAGAAGAATTTCCTCCAGTCTTTCAGAGAAGTGACAGTTGATGAAAGAATGGAGGCACAAAGTAAAAGTGCTCTGGTCTTCAACATTTTGTGGAAGATTTAATCAGTCTGATCTGGAATTCATTTTGCAATATTTCTGGATTTGTATATTTGGACATAAACATCACATTTTTCAACCTATTGACAAAACAGTTTTGCATTAATTGCCAATGCCATGTATTATTATTTCCTTTCAAGATGGCATGTCAATTCTTTATTGTACCCCTTAAGCTCTGTTATACCAGTACAATCTTGCAATGAAATCATTCAAGTTTATTTTTACTTCTTAGATTAAATTTTTGCTTGCAAATTTTGTCGTTCGCCGTTTTTTTAAGTCAACTATTAGATGATTTTTCTATGACTGTAACATTTCAAAACTGATATATACTTACAAATTTAAGTAGAATTCTGTACTGATTTGACCTTGACCCCCTAAGAACAAGAGTGTCAAGATCAATACTTAATACAAAAATGTTTTTTCATTTATGTTGGCCCATATCTTACAAACAGCATCACGGAATATACAAAAAGTGTCTAGAATGTGTCCAGAATGAGAAATAACAAACATGTACATGTACATTGTATATAGTATAAAAAATTGAAAATACTGTTGCTTAGCAACAACTTTAAGGTCATTAAGCAAAAATTTGAACTGAAATGATGTATGGATATTGCAGTTCTGATCCCTTTTTGAGAGTATATATTCAGAATTTTTCATTTCAGCATCTACTGTGTAAAATTTTAGCAAAAATATAGAGAAGAGTTGAAAAAAATGATGAAATTTTTGCACTTATTTGACCTTTGACCTCCTAAAAATAGTTCTAATGAGGTAAAACTTTTGAAAAATTTATCTGCTATTATGTCCTTTGTAATTTTATGACATTATATCTAACTTTAATATGTGCTAGGATGCATAAATGTGTCTAGGATGAGTGAAAAACAAAAATTTCTGCCCGAAAATTGAAAAATTCTGCGTTGCTAAGCAACCGCTTTTAAGGAAATGTATGCAGAATTTAAAAAAAGTTTATGTGTTTCATGAAGTACAGTATAATGCCCTTTTGTGGGTATATCTAAAATTTCCTATTTCAACATACATCTTTGTAAAT